TCAGAGAGCAGCAGTGCTAGAGCAAGTGTTACCATGGGGAGGGGAGGCATGGTGGAATCCCCCCTTGGACACCTTGGGAGAAGAGCAGGGTCTGCCAGGTGAGTAAGGTCACCTAGGCCTTCTAGTCAGAAGGCACAAAGAGCAGGCCTTGGAGAGAGGCCTGATTCACTTATTCAGCCTGGAGTGAATGACTCCCAGCGCTGAGGCCAGGCTTGTCATCTTTGTGTCCTTCCCTTCCCCTGAGGTGGGGCTATGTTGGAACTACCCCTGGGCCAGCTCTTCTTTCCTTGAATCGTCTCAGGTATATCCATTCACAAGGAGATGTGAAGCAATTCTGCCTGCACAGGGCTCCAGGCTCCTGGCAGAAAATTCCCTGGCTCTGGGAGTTGGCATCTGTGAGAGATTCCAGGGGAACCCAAGGTACCAGGGCAGAAGCCCTGTCTGTGTGGCTGCTGGACAAAGGCTCCACAGGTTGTGGGGGAAGCAGACTGGCAGATTTTAGCCTGCTTTTCTCTGACCGTCACAGACATCAGAGGGACAAGATCACAGACCTGTCATCCAGGGAGGCACTGGTGCTGTTCTGCTCCTGGCTGTACACAATGGGACAAGGTGAGGGCAGGATTTTCCTGGCATTCACATCACTGTACAAAACCAAACCCACAAAGGAAAATGTATGGAGGTTTACAGAAGAGAAATTCAGGGTCTATATTTAAGAGCTGTATGGACTGAATATTTGTGTCGCCCCCACATCCAAATGTTGAAGCCCTAACTCCCAATATGATGGTGTTTGGAGGTGCAACCTTTGGGAGGTAATTAGGTTTAGAAGAGGTCATGACAGTGGGGCCCCCATGATGGGACTGGTGTCCTTATAAGAAGAGGAAGAGGGAGCAGAGTTTTCTTTGAATCATGTGAAGACACAACAAGCGGGTGGCCATCTACAAGCCAGGAAGAAGATTCTCACTGGAAACGGATCATCTGGACTTTGATATGGGACTCTCCAGCCTTCAGAACTGTGAGAAGTAAATAAATGCCTGTAGTTCAAGCCACCTAATCTATGATATTTCGTTTTGGCAGCTCGAGCTGACTAACACAGGAGGCTATGGATGATGTGGATGGTGTTTTAACTTAGGCTGCTGTAACAGAATACTACACACTGAGTAGCTTAAGCAGCAAAAATTTATTTCTCACAATTCTTCTGGAGGCTAGAAGTCTGAGATCAGGGTGCCAGCATGGTCAAGTTTCTCTAAGTGCCCTCTTTTGGCTTGCAGACTTCTGACTCATGGTATTCTCACTTGATGGAAAGAGAGTGAGTTAGGTCTCTGGCCTCTTATAAGAGCACTACTTGCATTAGAGAGCTCCACCCTCAGGACATAATTACCTCCCAAAGACCTCACCTCCAAATACAATCACGTTGGGGATTAGGTTTCAACATATGAATTGTTGGAGGACACATTCGTTCTATAACATTCTGCCCCTGACTCCCCCAAATTCATGTCTTTCTCATATACAAAATATATTCATTCTACTCCACCAGCCCCCATAGTCTTAACTTGATCCAGCATCAACTCTAAACTCTGAAGTCCAAAGAGTCTAAATATCATATAAATCAGATATGAGTGCAACTCAAGTACCATTGGTTCATCCTGAGACAAAGTTCCTCTCCAGCTATGAATTCAAACCTATGAATTCAAACAATTTATGTGCTTCCAGGCATAGGACAGACAAACCCATTTCAAAAGGGAGAAATAGAAAAGAAGGAAGGGGTGATGGGTCCCAAGAAGTCTAAAACTTAGGAAGGGAAACTCCATGAGATCTTATGGCTCAAGGAGAATTCTCTTTGGCTTGATGATCTGCCCTAGGGTAAAGGTCCTGCCTTCTGGACCACCTGGGGTGGAAGTAGCCAGGCTATGCTGGGCAGGGTTATACTCTCATGGTTCTGTTGGGAGGCCCCCCTACCTCGACTTTGGGCAAAGGCTGTCTGGCCTGTTGAAATCAAGGCAATGGTCTCCCCTTTTGGAATGGAGGGGCAGCCCCGATGACCTCTGCATCACCTTTGGAGTCATTCTTTTCCTGCCCTGGGGAAGAGTGTATGTTCACAGTGAATCAGCTCTATGGTCTTGTCCTATAAAATCCAAATTGTCCAACATCCTGTCTTTATTCTTCTCCATCTCCTTTTCAGTGCAAACTGGCAGTTTTCCCACTGGGGTGGCTGAGTAAGTCTGTGATTCACACCTGTACCAATCTCCTTATCAAGTGGTTGCTTGGTTACACTCTTAATGTTCTTCTCTGAAGACACTTTCTCATGTTTTGCATTATGAACAGGCTGAGAATTTTCCAAATCTTTACATTCTAGTTCTTTTTTGCTTAATAACTCCATCTTCAAGTCATTTCTCTCTTTTCATATTTTACTATAAGCAGTCAGGAAGAACCAAGCCACTTATTCAACATTTTGCTTAGAAATCACCTCAGGTAATGTCCATTTTCATCACGTGCAAGTTCTACCTTCCAAAAAACACTAGAACAGGAACATAATTTAGCTTTTTTTTTTTTTTTTTTTGCCACCTTGTAACAAGGATTGCCTTTTCTTCATTGTCCAATATGTTCTTCATTTCTGTCTGAGCCCTCATCAGAATGGCCTCTACATCCGTGTTTAAATGAACATTCTGTACATAATTATTTATGTCTTCTCTAAGAAGATGCAAGCTGTCTCTGCAGCTCTCCTCTTTTCTTCTTGAGTCCTCACCAGAAGAATTACTTTTAAAGGTCCTTTTACGATCTCAGATTCTTGTAGCACGCATATCAAAACTCTTCCAGCCTCTGCCCATTGCTCAGTTCCAAAGCTGCTTCTACATTTTTTAGTTATTTGTTATAGCGGCACCCCACTTCTGGTACCAATTTCTGTCTTAGCGGTTACTATAACAAAGTACTGTGTGGCTTACAAATAATGGAAATTTACTTTTCACAGTTCTGGAGGCTGGAAGCCTGAGCTCAGGGTGCCAGCATGGTCAGATTCTGGTGAGGAGAGCCCTCTTCTGACTGCTGGTTTCCGACTGCTGACTCTCATTGTGTCCTGATGTGGAAAGAGAGTGAGCTAGCTTTCTGGCCTCTTTAGAGTTTCGACATATGAATTTTGATGGGACAGGAACATTTAGTCCCTAATAGATGTTTTATACATTAATTTTCATGTTGGAGCATTGCATGTGTTGGATGTGCAAATTGAACCAAAACAACAAAGATTGCAACTGTCATTTATAGACACCGTCTACACACCAGGTCCAGGAAAGCACTCTGCAAACGTCATGCCATTTAATCCTCTCAATAGCCTCATTATTCCCATTATATACCCGAGAAACCTGAGGCTCGGAGAGGTTAAAGAAATTCTAAAAGTCACCCAGCCGGTAAGTGGCAGAACCTAGATCTAATCACAACTCTGTTGAGGCTTCAGAACCCGTGCTCTCTGGCTACTTTATTAACTGTACTTGACTCTGTGGTGTTCTGCGGAAGTACATGCTGGAGGTGCATGGCTTGCCCCTGGCCACGTCATCTGCCCTTAGGTGGCCCCAGCTGACCAGCTCCACGCTCCTTGAGTAAGGAGTTGGATCTGACAGCTTATACAGATGCTATTTTGCTCATTTTACTAAACTGCCTGGTGCATGTGCCTTACCTTGCCTTGCCTGGTTGCAAACAGCAGAATCCAGCAGCATTCCTTGGGAGATAAAGGGCCAGGGGCTAAAGCTGTCCCAGATGCCAGGGACCGAATGGGATCCTCTTTCTTGCTTCATGATGGTCCTGCCTAGACACCATGTCAGAGCTGGAAGAGGCCTAAAAAGTCACCTGGATAGAACCCTTCTATTACAGATGGGAACAGTAAGGCTGAGGTGGACCAGGGACAGGGACAGGTGCAACAGCTTTGCCAAGTTTGCATCAAGAGTCCAAGGACCTCCACAGGCCTGAAAGCCTGCTGTCCCAGCCATGAATGAGTACAGCCCCTTCTCCAGCTCCAGCCTTCTGCCCTGTCCCGTCTCACCCAACTGCAAGGCCTCTTACTCTGGGCCTGCCTCCACAGGTTTAGAATTGTAGGTCAAACAAACAGGACAGGAAATCAGAGCCTGAGACTTCCTCACCCCCGCGTCCCCTGCCTCCCCTCATGCGTATTTCCCAGCATTCCAGAGACTCTCCACTGAGGCTTTGGGAGGGTTAGGGATCTGTGTTGATTGGCGAGGGCTGCTGTAGGACCAGAGGCAGCCACAAGGTGGCAGGCTCTGTATGCTCTTTTTAAGAGAACCGTTGCCAACTCTCAGGGCTCTTATTGGTGCAGGCAGAGAGAA